ATGTTAAATGGAATATTACTACTCACACTAATTTAGACTTTGGTGCAGCTTTCGCAAGCTCTTTTTCTCTCTCCTTCAGAAGATCGTCTCTTTTCTTTCATTTCATCCAGTGTCACCAGCCCTACGGAGCAATAATTGATAAAAACAAAACATATGAGAACACAGCTCTATTAAATATTAGTTAAATTGATAAACAAATAATTTTTTTTTTAACAGCTGTTTCATAAAATATCATTTGAGTAGGACACAACAGAGAAAGACTCATTTTGGCAAGTTTTTTACTAAATTCTATGAAAATACCAAATTATTCGCTTTTAATAGAACAAATATGGTAGCAGTGTACTTTCAAGTATGTCCTGCAAATTTCATTTTAAATAGAACATTACATTCAAAATATCATTTTGATGGTCATGCACTAATATGTATTCAATCAAAATATCAAATTTTGTTTAATTAAGCTCTCCATTTTGCATATGTCACATGACAACCATATTGTAGACAGTCATTGTATGGCATCTATAATCGCTGGTTCACGGCGTTCCTTGCAAATGACAAGTAGGAAGCAGGTAACTAGTAATAAACATATTGTTCCGGCCCTGGATACTCATGACTAAGTGATGTGATTTGAAAACATTCCAAGTAGTGTAAACATGCCTGTAATACTACAATAGTGCCGCATCCATTGATACATTCCGCCGGCTTAGATTTCACACTTGAGGTGGTTCTAGCATTTTTTTGGCCAAGTGATAATCACCGATACATCGTCATATTTGTGCAACTTTTGAGAGTAAAAGGGAAACCCTTATAATGACCATGAATGCCGACTAAGGTAACAAACAAAGAATGAGAATGTGATCGACCAATTAGAAATTAGAAAGCTGGATCCATTACTTATGGCTTTCACAGTGACACTTGAGGCGGAAATCAGCCAAAGCATCAAACATTCCATACATTGTAAGGCAGCCATATTGCACAGCTGCATGGCAACAATATTGCATAGTCGCATGGCATCCATATTGCATACGTTACATGGCAACTATTTTGAACATGATGACTATGGCTCTTTAATGATGGTTGAGGACAACACACTTTTATGACTGACACTAAACTATTCTTTATGATGTACATAAAATAGTCTTTTTTTATTTTATTTTGAACCTCTACTGTTTATATGATAAAATTCAATTCTCACCGACAGTTTCTGTTCTAAGTTGCTGCTCCACCGCATCATAATGAGAAGCAAACTTATGACTGATTGTAGCGACTTTAGCAAAGTTATCCTAGTAAAAAGAAAACATACTGGGTAGATAAATAACCTGGTAAGTGATCAATAAAGCAATAATTGAACCACACACATTCATGCAATTCATATTCACAGTAGTCAAATTCAAAATACATATTGTGTGTTACATATAATATACCGATAGACCAGGAAGACAAAGGTGGAGGTGTCATCTAGCAAAGAAATGAGCCAGAGACCAACTTTTCTTGGTTAATTTAAGGGAGGTGATTCTGAAAATGCACTGGTGTGTTTAGCCTCGATTTCAGTTTCAAGCCTCCACATTTATTGAGAAATGCCAACCCCATAAGAGGAGAGGGGTCATCTGGTAGGAAAATGAGCCAGATCAACTTTTTTGGTCAATTTAGGTTTGCTGATTCTGAAAATGCATGGTATACAGCCATTTGTGTGAACATTTAGCCTCCATTTCAATGTCAAGCCTAGATTTATTGTAAAACACCTTCCTTAAACTTAGTCTCAATTTCCAAAATATAGTAAAAATAACCAGTAAGGTATGAGGTGTTATAGAAAAATGGCCAGACAAACATTTTTGAGGCACGAATATCGAAAATTCATGATAATTAAACATGCGACTCATGCATTTAAGCTGTGAATTGTGCAATATTGAGTGATATACCCACCTTTGGCAGGAAGTTATTAGTTAAATAATGTAGCAGGATTACCTAGCACCCCAAAAACATGAGTTATATCTCTGTATATTTTCTGTATCAACAAATTGTCAATACCCAATGTGACACCACATCATATCCTGTTCATTTCAAAATTCACAACACCCAAATTGCCTTGACCCCTCCCCCCTCCACCGAGATGGTCTAATACAGTCCGGTGTATTAGACGATTCTCAGCACTCCTCGTCGCGAGTCGCAGCAATCGCACGATTTTGCCATGATTGCGACAGTCGTGTGGCGAGTAATATGCAGCGGGCCGAATAAAACGTTCACATTTCACGAATATGATAATAATGTTGTTGTTGTTGTTTTTGAAACAATAACTTCCGACCCATTCCGATTGACATCATTCATCATTTCACATGTGTAAATTAGTACCTTATGTAATAAACTTCACGAAATACGGTAATATACTACCTGTTCTATTTTTTGTTTTAGTTGTTGTATTTTCTCCTTCTCCTTCTCTCTCTTTTTCATCAAATGCATTACACGACCCGCTTCGCTGGCAGCTCCCTTGTAGTGCGCCATTTTGTACACTGATGAAGTTAGCGTCAGATTCCGATGGATACTGTGCCGAATTCGGATTCTTACATGAAGTCGCCTCAGATGGCGCACTTCAGTCGTGACTGCCTTGTCCAGCCGAAACAGAAAAACACTCTCCGCTATAAGATTGTTGTTCACATCCGCTGTACCGTTCTTGTTTATCTCTCCCATTCTTCTCAATTAATTTCAGCGAGCGAATCATTTACTGTCTTAACTATCATCAAAGCCCGTTAGAGACATTTCGAGAAAAAAATACCTTGACATTCGAGATAATAAGTCGGGATCTCGAGATAATAAGTTGAGGTCTCGAGATAATAAGTCGAGACCCCGAGATAATAAGTCGTGGTCTCGATTCACAGTCAATTCGTCCCAATTCACTTTCGTCCTAACACATTCGTCCCACAAGTCGATTCGTCACAATTCACATTCAGGCTCTAGATAATAATAAGTCGGGGTCTCGGGCTCTAGATAATAATAAGTCGGGGTCTCGAGATAATAAGTCAAGATCTCGAGATAATAATCTGGGTCTCAAGTTAAGTCGGAGTCTCGAGATAATAAGATCAGATCTCGGAATTGTGACATAGTAATTGATTACGGATCGTGTGTTTATTAAACTGGTTTTACTCTTCACGTATTACTATTGATTGACAAAACATTCGGTCACCACGTGCAATTGCAGTCACGTGTGTGTCATGTGATACCGTGGCGTTCTGCGTTGAAACCTGACAATTCCGGCCTATGGTTAAGATTTGCTTGTTCTGTACGTGACATTTGACTACCGTTGTATGGATACCAAGCTAATTTATCACATATGACATATGCTTATTTCAAAGGTCAGTAAGTCCCCGAAATGTACACAGTGAGAGCATTGTACCTAAAATGCAATTTTGTCTTTGATCTCTAGGGAACCCCGTACATTACACAATATAAAAAAAAAGAAACAGAATATTTAATTCGCTTTTACAGTATAATTACCAATTGCTGACATAAATGTGAAACACGTATTTCGCGATTTTACAGTACATCGTACAGTATTGATTGTTTTACTATGAGACAACATGCAAGGAACATTTACTGAATGCATAATTTAATATTCTATACTATACTACACTTAACACATAGCAGTATACCGGTAAGGTCAGCATTTCCCGTCTTCTGTCATCGCCGTATGTCACTGATTTTTTTTTTTTTTTAATTGCTGGCATTTCTTTGGTTTGTCTTTTTAAGTGTCTATTAACTGCAGAAAACTTAGTACTCAAAGAAGCAACACAATTAAATAAACAAATAAAAAGCAAATGGTTCGTTGAAGTGATAACCCAACTTAACAAAAATAGATCATACCTTAATTATAAACACTGATTTAAAAATTTCCAATGCAAAAGTAAAGGAAATAAAAAAGAAACTTGACGAATTCGTCATATCACACCAGATAACAAATATTATGAACAATGACAACAAGCACTCGACGGGGAAACATAAATTAAGAACACACAGAAACTTTGATAATAAATTAGAATTTGAAAAATCCATAACAGACATTGACTATATTGAACTGCGTGAACAGCTAAACAAATTTAGATTAGGGAATAACAATTTAAAAATCGAATCTGACTGGCACACGAAACCAAAAACACCAGGTAAAAAAAAGAACGTGTGACCTGTGTATACGTAATACAGGTGAAATCGAAGATGAATTCCATCTATAATAATGCCATGTCCAAAGTATGAACAACACAAAAAGTCTCTAGTTGAAGATATGACCAAAGACATAAATAATTTCATTAACTTGTCAGTTCATAGTCAATTTATTTCTATAATGAGTCTTCGTATACACAGATCAATTCAATTTATTAAACAATCGTTTTGACCTGGAAATCGGAATCAAACGTAGGATTATGACAGCTCGTATGACATAGCCCTTTTTAGTCCTAAATGGTGTTTGTTTGTCTAATTGACTGTGTCGTAGTAGTTAATAATAGTTGTAGCGATGAGTAGAGAATTCACTACGGTGCAGTGGTTCGACCAACATTTTCGGGTACAGAACTATTCGGCCGCGCGAATGTTTTATAACAGGCTGTTCGAGTATACATACGCTAAGCACGGCACAATATATTTTTTGTATGAATAACATATGATTTACAAGTATTAGTAAAATAAAAATTAATATACCTTTGCTTGTGTTACGCACAAGTTATTAGTAGAAGAAAACAAGACGGTACGCTGATTGTGGATCCGCTGGGAGACGTAAGTTTGAACAAAGTCGGCCTTGGGCAAACAAATCACAGAAAAGTTAATACGTACAGTCATATAGACAATCCGGAAGGCTGAAAAGCTCTTTGCTATGCCTGACAATATTTACATAAGTCCAACTTACTTTGTGAGCTTACATGTTTTACTTTTACTTACACTTGATGGGTTTGGAATTTAAATGCTTCATAGACTTGAGCATTTGAACGCGTATGAACTAAATATTGAAATATTTCGACATTCGGAAATATGACGTAATGCATTGTGCCGACCAGAGGAAGACTATTCAAGTAGTCCGAGTCCCTGAGAGTAGAATGAGATATGTTCGATTTTTTTCACTTCAAGATTTTTTTTGCTCTTGCAGCCAAATAACAGACACAGAAAAGTTAAAACGCCGTTTCTGACGAAAAAAGTACCCCAGATTCTGGGTTAAATATGTTGACAACTAAGAAAGATCTCAAAAACCAAATACTGTAAAATACTTTATTTAAGCTGGAATTAATTTTCGACTTTTTTGGTGTTTCACAGAATTTATTTTCACCGATTTTTGACGAGTTGAATGTAAAATATAGGAAAACAAAGTAGATTTTATTTTCACTGAATCATTTCTTTAGCGAAAATAGCGAAAATTAGTTGCAAGCGGAAATAAAGTTTATTACAGTAGTAACTTTGTATGCATACACTCAAGCAGAGTAGAATGCGATATGTCCCAGATTTCTACTCCAAGATTTGTAGGAGATACATTTGGCGCGAGTACAGGGGAAATGACCATTTTTTTTAATTGTTATCATGGAAACGAGGGGTTAAATTTCCCACCTAACTAGAGTGCAGCTATGACCTGCCTGTCAAGTTTAAACGTAATCGCTGAGTTTTTTTTTGATAGAGTTAACAAGTGGACGGACGTAGTGATTATAAGCGTAATTCTAGCTGGGAGCGGATCGTCGTCATACGCCTCGGGCGTACAGCCCTCGATGGATGGCCGGACCAACTAATTTTTGCTTCCTACGGCCTTGAATCAGTATTTTATAAAACACGAGCGTGGCCATAAGGTCCGCAAAACACGTGACCGATAAATTACGGATCTGAATTGGTGTCCGGCATTTCCATGGATCAACACGACTTCCATCGGATAGTTGTATAAACTGGATACACAGATTCGGTCATAATCCGAAAGTTCACAGTCTTTTAGAATATCATATAGACTATCGCACTTTTCTTGTCAGGTGGTTGGAAGTTGACTATTTTCCAAACATGTATTGAGAACCATATATGTGTGTCGTGTTGGAGAATACGAATGTATCAGTTGATAGAGGTCAAAGCACTGTTATTCCGATCGAAGGATTCAAAGCCAATTTTATTCCTGTTCATGCAAATACCCAGAATTTACTTATTTTGCATTAACTTAAAATAGTAGGGGGTCACCAGCCTCATTTTAGTGGATATATAGTTGCCATTTTGGCAGTATTATATTGTTCATACCATAGATTCCCAGGCTGGTGACATAAACAGACAAAAATGATATATTGTGAATGATGGGATACCTTGTTGTTGTCCTGAATTATTTTGAAAAAATGGGGTTTAAAAAGTGTCAAAAAAATGGAATTGTTCTAAAATAGCAATATGTGAAAAATGTTAGGACAAGTTTCTCAAAATACGTCACTGTAACAAACAAAAAAAGAATACTACTATTATATAATGGCGCCATGATTTCACATAATAAACCAAGAAAAATTGTCATGCGATTTATGACCAACTTTCTCAAAAATTAAATGTAAGCTTTTGAAAAAATACAAGGCTTCTTAAGCGCGAGACACATCTCTGGTAATCACGTGATCGTGCAAACGACTGCAGCGATTGGCTGATCGCATGTTTACTCTGCCACATCTTAGAACTTTATGGTAGAATTTGTCAGAGATTGTAAGAGAGGAAGGTGAGATGAGCCAGCAAGGCGTGACTTCAGTTGACGGTTTAGATGAACAAAGCTGTGTTGTAATGAACTAGTGTGTATTCTTTTGGGTCGAAACACAACAGTAGTATCAATTACATTACATAGGACACGGCGTAGGACATTTGGGTCAACCATTATTTTATTTATTTGCCTATTTTGGAATATGATATTGTATATCAAGCATATATATTTCCGATCAAATATTCGTACTCCGATCAAGTTCTACTGTGTAACGTATAAATTCACCAGGGCATTACAAGTAATAAATCCCTTTCTACCTTCAGCAAAACTCAGAATCAGTAACACTATATATATATATCCCGTGAACCCACAATTCCTTGTATGTGTTCATCGCATTTTGGTGTAGCGTAGTGGAACCGGAACATACTGATCCTACCATCATACGTTATGTATGTTTTAAAAGGACTCGGTATCATGCCTCCTTGCCTCCCACTCTCTCTCAAAGCAAAGCAATGATACGAACATGGCATACTTTAAAGGGTGGCAGTCGTCGTGCCGCGTCCTGTTCGATATGGGACTCATAGCGACGTATACAACGCGTGTTAATGACATTGTTTATTTACATGAAATTTGAACACGCGCTGCGCGACGACCACCGCGCTTCAAAAAACAAAACAAAACAACAACTTAATTTTTCCTATATTCGCTTTAGGTGTGATTCAGTAAAAATGATACCCAACAAGTACATTCATTTTTCTTAGATTTTAAATTCAACTGATCAAAAAATCAGTGAAACATAAATTCCACACAAAAAGACCTGCCCCAAAATAAGTACCTTTTTCTATGAATTTGAATTTG